CCAAGGATAAGGAAATTAAATTTGGAAGATTGTCATTTTTTGGAGAAGAACCCTTCTTCTTTGAGGAATTCAAGTCTTGAAATAATTGAGGTGTCTAATTGTTCCTACTCTGCAAGTTTTATAGAGCCACTTCAAGAGATACAAATGCACATGGGAAATTTTCATCCAAAGAAATGGACTACGGATCTTCTCAAATTTATTTAGTCTGGACAATCAATTTATTCATTTTATTTTTCTCAATTTTTTTTTTTTACTTTTGTACTATAACTAGTTGTGTTGCATTAGTCTAACATCAAGATCAAGTTGCTCATTTTGTTTTATTGTTCATTATCCCGTCTCAAACCTGTGTGGTAGGATCACTTCCTAGGATATTTGTTGTTTCTAAATATTTAAATGAATGAAGCAACTGTTTTTGTTTTTCAAATTTTAGTTATGCTTTCAAGAATAGCTACAAATTTAGTCAATCTTTTCATACCGTTAGTTCGTAATTTGTTTACAAAAAAGAACGAATGCCATCGACTAATTTAATTACTAGGATTTCATAATTTATCAATTCTTTTTTCCATTGTCTACCTCTACAATTTCTTTCTGCTAGGTTTAGTAGTCTAGCTGTCCAACCCGAGCCCAATAATGAGATAAATGAGTATTTTGTACCCACTTGGTACTTGCGAATCTTTCCTCCTCCTCCTTCTCCTTTTTGTCCCCAATTTGCCACTTGCATTATTCAATTCTGTTGTTTAGTCTGTCTTCGTATTTTACACCAGGAGTTTTACAAAAAAATCTCTCGTCTTAGTGGTTATAATTACAATGAATTTAAATATGCTAAGGGTACCAACTCAAGTGTCATATGCACTAGATCAAGAAACTTTTAGAGGGCCCGCATCCTACTCTGAGAGGAGTTTTGATTAGACATCAAATGAAAAGAGTAAGTTATAAGACTTTGGACCATTAAGCATTTTATAATATTTAATCTCTTTTGTGTTTTCAGTTTTATGTGCCTTTTGAGTCTTGGAATTATTTTCTAGGATTTTGTACTCTTTTTTTGTTATGGTAAATCTGTTACTCCTTCGCCAAATAGATGTAGGTTAATTCAACCGAACCACATAAAATTTTGTATTTTTCTGTTTTTTTTATTTGCTTTGTTATTATCTTTATTGGGTTGCCACAAACCCCACTGTTCTGATTGATCAATTTTTTGGAACCAGACCTAGCAAACTGGTATTAGAGTTTCAGGCTTTGGGTTCAGTGACAACAATGATGATAACAGACTATCAATATCAATTTCGAAATATTGATTTAACGCTACAGAGAGTGAAGAAAAATCTCCCATTGGAGTTTAGTTGAATTTTGAAGAAGAGCTATTTCGCCTGTTGGAACTTGTTGAGGATGAAGCAAGATTATTATGTTTGATATTTTAGCCCATTGGGATATGTTGAATCTTTTGTGAGTTTTGATCCGTTGGGACCTATTAGGGGGGGAGGGATGTGTTGGGTGGTACGGCGGGAGGGAGTGTAATTGTGAGATCTTGGGTTCGAGTTCTCTTGTTTACACTTAAAAAAAATAATAATAATAAAAAAAGATCCGTTGGGACCTATTGAATCTTTTGCATCTTGGCTCGTTAGTGGGTCATTGAGGTCTATTGGCACTTTTGTGGTTCATTGGGATTCATTGAGACTTTGTGAAAAAAGTGGAGTATGTTTGCTATTTTTACACGCCAAGATGGAGATATTGAATTTAATTTTTGTATCCCACATTAGAAGTTTTATAAAGAAATCTCTCCTCTTACTAGTTATAAATACAATGCATTTAAGTGAATTTAAATGTGTTAAGGGCATCAGTCCAAGTGCCCTGTATGCACTAATCCAAGAGAATTTTAGGAGACCCACATCCAATTTGAGAGGAGTTTGGGTTAAACATCAAACGAAAAGAGCTAATTATCAGACTTTGGACCGTTAAACATTTTGAATTATTTAGTTTCTTTTGTATTTTCAGTTTTATGTGTCTTTTGGCCTTGAAATTATTTCCTAGAATTTCATACTCTTTCTTTTATATTCTTTTTTAGTTATAATAAATTTGCTACGCTTTCGCCGTCGTCTTTGGACTAAATTGGCTCCCCTTTCGCCCATAAATATAGGTCAATTCGACCAAACCATGTGTTTTATTTGCTTTATTATTATTTTTATTGAATTGTCAGGAATCCTCTTATTTTCATTGGTCAATTTCTTGAGACCAGACGTGACAAATTCTGCTTGGAGTCTCGAAAAAGGTACTTGCATATAAATACTCCTTGGTAGATCAACTTGCGTTTCTTTTTTGTACTTTTATTCCCATCACAAGACCTTTTGACCAGGAATACCAATAGTGTTTTCAGACCTGGATTATCTGACTAACTGGATCTAAAAGATGGATCAAAACGACTTTCACACTCTTAGGTTCACATTGCTCAAGTAATGATTTTATTCTAATAACTAATTGAAACACAAAATCATTGCCAGCTAGACGTAACCATGATACACAAACAAGAATATGATACTGCGCACTATCCTGCGGGTTCAATTCAACGGAATCAAACAATTCTGTATTTGGTTTTTAGTGCTCGAAGTTGGGTCAGCCAAAAAAACCAGCTGGAATAGTGGAAACGGTGCGACAATGAGACAAAGGGTGAGTCCCACTTTAATATAATACAAGTGGAATCCTAGATGTAGAAATATAAGAAGGCGGGCCCCTCTTCATCGAAAGAAATTATCTTTTCGTGGATACAACACTTCAAAAATAAATTTCAAAATTAATCAAATTTGCCCGACATAGAGGCAATTAAGAAAGCCGCATACGTAAATATATAACCAGTCATATGAAAAGCATATTTCGTGAACTGACCAAATTACCAATCTCTTGCTATTTATAATCTCACCACGAAAGTTTTGAACTACAATAAAATAGTCAATATGAGCTCTCGATAATGTGCATGTTATGAGAACATTATCAAATTAACCGGCTCATTAATATCTTTTTTCATATTCTTAGTAAGTATTATAAGGAGTCAATAAAAATCAAAGGTTATGAGCAAGTTGTTGAAACTATTTAGACAAAAAAAAATGTCAAAGATAAACAAATGGAAATAGAGTCCTACTAATTTTTAGCATTTCCCGAAAGATGATAAACAGCATGCACTGGTTCAATTTTCTATGACCTGCTGACTCTATATAAGATCAGGTTTTTTGGGTCAATAATTCAGCTACAAAATTATTCCTTATGAATAAATAATATATATAGTTGTGAGTCTATATACTCGCAACTATGGAGGAAATTTCCAAATCATAAGAGTTTTAAGAAAGGGTCCCAAATAGTCAAGGTTTTGAAAAAAAATTCAATAAATGTGATTTCTTAATGATGCATTCGTACGTTATTTAAGTAATATCTACCTATAGAAATAGTAAAAAAATATATATAAATACATCATGTGAAAAAAAAAGATTGCATTTCACTAAATGTGCTTTTCACAATTTGAGAAAAAGTTAAAAAAAATTACTCCCTCCGTCTAGGGCTGCAAACGAATCCAGCCGCTCGCGAGCGGCTCGAGTCGAGCTCGAGCTGGTTCGAGTCGAAATCGAGCTCAAAATATTAAGCTCTTGCAAGCTCGAGTATATATATAATATTTTTTATTTTTTTTATTTTAAGTATATATATATTTTTTATTTTTAAGTATATATATTTTTTATTTTAATAGTAAAATTACATATATATCCTTAATATTTTTATTATTTATTAAAAAATATATTATTTTATTTATTTTTTTTAAAAATAAAATAATTATTTTTTTAATTTTTTTCGAGCTCGAAAATTGCCGTTCGTCGAGCTCGAGCTCGAGCTTGGTAAAATTTAGTCGAGGCTCGGCTCGATTAACCCAAAACTCGACTCGACTCGACTCGACTCGTTTGCAGCCCTACCTCCGTCCCATTTATTTAGTTATATTTGGGAAATCCAACTTTTTAAAAATAGTGATTTGATTGTGATATTTATACTTTTCTTTTTAATTTTATCCCCACAAATTCAAATTTTAAATTTGAATGGTAACATGCATATGATTAGAAAAAAAGGCTATATTGGAAAGAGAGATTAAAAGGTGTTTCAACTTTACTAACATGACAGTTGTTTTGGGACATTCCAAAATGAAAAATATAATAATTTCAATGAGATGGAGGGAGATTATCCTTTGAAATTTTTTCTTAAAATGTCTCACTTTTTGGGAATTCAATATCCAGAAAGAGTTGAGCACTTGATTAAACATAGTGTTGTAGCCTAATAAGCTTGTCAAAAATTACTGACCAAAAATGGCAAGTGAGTTTTTTGGATGTTTGTCTAAAACTTTATTATAACTTACTGTAGAAGTTTTTTAAAAAATTTTTGAAGTGTGTTTTTTTTTAATATTTTGAAGTGTATAGTTTAAAAACTTTGAGAAGTTTTTTGAGGTTACTGTAGCTAAATTTTTTTAAAAAACTTGTAATAAACAAACTTAGCAAAAAATTTGTCTACCAAACAAGGCCACAGACGAGGAATTCATTACTTTTTCACATGTGAAATTTCTTATACTTTCCCTTTTTTTTTGGGCAAAACTGTGAAAGTAAACTGTGAAAACAAGCGCAACATCTCAGAACAGAACCGGTGTTGTCCCCATATCGAGATAAAATAATGCAAGTGAGGAGGAGCCCAATAATTCAGTAGCTCTCCACTTCTTCTGCAATGGAAGTATATTTGCATCAAAGTTTCTGCAAAGAAAAGGCCAAATTATCCCACCAGGTGCTAGGCATTGACAGACCCTCCTTACCAGCACTCCCAATTGGACTGTACACAAATTCTCTCGAAAACCTCGACCTAACTTCTTCTGAGCTCAGAGCTTTCCTAGTTTCTGAAAGAGAGATCTGTACAACTTTTTTCATCATTCCTAGCCATATTCATTGACTTGCTTCATCTCTAAATTTAACTAATCTTCCTTTCGTTAAATGGCCTCCAGTTGTCTTACTTGCATTTCCGCCATCTTGGATGATCTGCAGTTGCTGGAGGATCTGTGTCCTAAAGCTCCAGATTGGGAGGACGAGCTCATTGACTTGAGGACATTAAAAATATTTCTAGGAACTTTCAGACCATTTCTTCTATCTGTGAGAAAGTGGGGCGATGATGATGATGCAAATCTGGGAGCACTGGTTGTCAGGATGAAAGATTACATTTCCAAACTGGGACAGGCGATTCACAAGTTCTATCTTACTAGTGTGGAAGATGGATATCGTACGGATCATGATATAGATATCCCCGACGATCTAGAAGAAGAAGAGTCATCCCTCAAACAAGAAATCAAGGATTTAGACAGCTCATCAAGGTTGTCTAGCAAGTCCCTGGCAAAGAAAGATGACCTAATGGATGTCATGGACTCTCTTCTGGAGAGCCTTCGGTACGTTTGCTTAATAGATGTCTTAGAAGATGATGAAGAGCAGGAACTATGGGAAGACTTAGAAGAGAAGCTAACATTTTTGAAAAACTTCATCTGTTTTGTTTCACTTCATGGCATCGATGATGGGCAATTGGGACCTTTACTGACTCACACTAAATCTGTCGCTGTGAACACAGCACACAATTATCTCCTGTGGGGCTTTAGATCATTCCGGCCAGAAGAAAATCCTGTTCGGGACCTGCTGCCGAAGATCATTCCTGTAGAACCCGAAGTCCATAGGACTTGTTTCCAGGCCCTGATTGCTTCAAAGATATCAAGACAACCATACGAGAAAAAAGATGAGCACATATTCAGAGTCTTCATCGATACTCTCCTAATCTATCTTTGGGAGATACTAACGACTGGAGCTTGTGTTATGATTTCTTTGAAGGATCGATTGAAAATGGTTTATGACGGGTTGAGGTCCTTGAGAATCATTCTCAAGGGGAACCCCGACGTGTTTGATGAGAAAATGAGATATCTTACTGGACTCCTGCTCTGTGATGCAGGAGTTGTTATTTTTTCCCTTTCTCTCAACGAAATTAAAGATGGATCAGTCAAGGAAATGGATCTGGAATCTTTTCATGATTTCCTGAAAAGGATAAAGCTTATCAAGGCAATAGTTGCAGAGAAATATCCAGAAACATCACCATCATCCAAGTTTCCTCGGACTAATGAGTTGGGATTTATCGATTTTCTTCTAAAATATATCCGAGATTTGACAAATCCTGATGCTCATTCAGTTGCTCTTTCAAGCTATCCAATTCATGCAATCCATGAAGAACTTGTTTACCTACGCTCCTTCTCGGGAAGAATTGTGGAATTGCGCAATGAAGATCAGGAGCTTCAAGCACTTTGGGATCGTGTTGTTGAGGTGGCATACAAGATAGAATTTCTTATCGACTCCTTGTTGGTTGGAGACATTCTAGATTCTTCTTCAATCTCATTTGATTCCGTTGTAGAAGAAATTAAGATCATCAAAGCCGCGGCCTTGAACATTTTTGATAGAAAAACACTTGATCTCAAAGTTAAGGAAGCTACCAAGAGACCAAATAACATGCCATCACAGGGAAGCATGCCAATAATCAATGACATGATCGTGGGATTGGAGGATGAGGCAACCTCAATAATCAATCGACTCACAAGAGGATCCTCCCTTCTGCAAATTGTCCCCATTGTAGGTATGCCAGGACTTGGCAAGACAACTTTAGCTAAAAAAGTTTACAATAATCCTTTAGTTACATCGCATTTTTATACATGTGCTTGGTGTACTGTCTCTCAAGTGTATCACAGAAAAAATCTGTTACTTGAAATTTTGACTGGTATTCACTCCAAACTTCCTGACAAATTTTCTGAGATGTGTGAAGAAGATTTGGCTGCAGAAGTCAGAAGAGGTCTGCTAAGGACTAGATATCTCATTGTTTTGGATGATATATGGGACGCCGAAGCATGGAAGGGATTGGAAGCATCATTCCCTGACAATCAAAACGGCAGTAGAGTGATCGTGACAAGTCGAAAGTCTGATGTTGCTGCTTCGAGAGATGAACTTGATGAAGGGCCTCATTTCCTCCGTCCGCTGACTCCTGATGAGAGCCGGGACTTGCTAAACATGAAGTTATTTCCTGGAAATGATTTGCCTCCGCCAGAATTATGCGAACTGCAAATGAAAATCGTGGAAATGTGTCGAGGACTGCCACTTACAATCATCATTCTAGCTGGAATTCTGGCAAATGAGAACCAACATGGTTGGAAAGAACTTGTGGATGGTTTAAGTTCAAGAATCGTCTCTAGTACAGAACAATGCTCTGCTGCAATAGAGTTGAGTTACAAGAACTTACCAGATAATTTGAAGCAATGCTTTCTATACTTCGGAGCATTTCCAGAAGACCATGAACACACTGCTGAGAAGTTGATTTGGTTATGGGGGGCTGAAGGATTTACCCAGAAAACTCAGTTCAAGAGTGCAGAGGATGTGGCAAATGATTTCTTAATGGATCTTATCCACAGAAGCTTGATCATTGTTTCCAAGCAAAGGTCCATTGGTGGTGTCAAAGCTTGTCGCATTCATGATTTGCTGCATGAGTTTTGTGTGACAAAAGGCAAAGAAGAAAATTTTCTGCAGCTGGTGCGTGGGTATGATGAAATATATACTTTCAGAGTGCCACGCAACCTACGCCGCCTATGCATCAACTCTAACCCAGAGCACTTTTGCAAGTCCAGGTTATTTGCTCCCACAATCCATTCTCTAATACACTCCGATGGAGGTAAAAGGCACCGACATTGTGCATTTGAGATTTCATCCATTTTTGGTATCTTCAAACTTGTTAGAGTGTTAGAATTGAGCAACATAAATCTAGGTACTACTTTTCCTAGAGAACTAGAAGTACTGGTTCAATTGAGGTACTTGGCAAATCTAGGAAATATGGAGTCAATTCCATCTTCTATAGCCAATCTCTCAAATTTGGAGACTTTCATCGTGGAAACATTTCGTGGGGTTGTTTTACTGCCTGATACTATATGGAATCTGAAGAAGCTAAGGCACTTACAGATAAGGAACTTTATGTTACCCGCAGACAATCTTGACACAGCTGCAGACTTGTGTGATTTGAATACCATCTCCGGTGTGTCTTTTCATTCTTTGGATATCATCCGCAAGGTATTCAGAAAAATTCCTAATATCCACAAGCTGAAATGCATTCTCGTTTGGGGTAATGAACATAATTGGGTTTCAGCAGACAAGATTCTAGTACTTGACTTTCCAAGTGGACTAGAATCACTGAATCTGATGTTCGATCAGTATACACGTCTTCCTTGCCAGTTTGAGTTTCAATTCCCTTTGGCAATCAGAAAGTTGACTCTATCCGGTTTTCTTTTCCCTTGGAGCAAAATTTCAGCTATCGAAAATCTTCCCAATCTGGAGGTTCTCAAATTACTTGATCGAGCCTTCAAGGGGGAAATATGGAACATGGAAAAAGAGGGCTTCCCTAAAGTAAGATTCCTGAAAATAGATGACTTGGATGTTGGCAAGTGGACTGCCTACGAGGGCGTGGACTGTTTTCCAAGTCTACAGAAACTAGCATTGATAAGCTGTCGCTCTTTAAAGGAGATCCCTTCTTGTTTGGGGAGTTCGACTCTTGAAATTATCGAGGTGTCTCATTGTCCCTTCTCTGCAAGTTTTATGGTGCCACTGCAGGAAGAACAAATGGACTTGGGAAATACAGACCTGAAGATCCTTAATAAGTCAGACTACTAATCTTCTCAAGTATCTTTGGTTTGGGCAGCCACTTTCACTCCTTTTACCTGTTTTTTTTCTCCCTAGTCCTTTACTTCTGTACTACTGTACTTCGTGCTTAGGAATCTTGGGGCTATTCCCATTACTACGTTGACTGGCCTTTCTATTTTCACCTTGCGTTGCACATGGTGTTTTGCTGGCAGTAATAATGGCGCAAAAGATGCACAGAGGAATTGTTAATATACGTTGTCGGACGTTCAACGGAGCAAAAAAAAAAAAAATCTATTAATTAGAGCGTTAAAAATACACAAAAGGGTTTTTTACTCTTAGGGTGCGTTTGGTTCTACAGAATTGGAATTGCATTGGAATTGGAATTCTATAAAATTAGAATTCTATGAATTGGAATTCCAAAACATTTGAATTCTTTTGTTTGGGTAATGCATAGAATTGATACATAATTCATTTGAAATTTTAAATTCTTTGTTTGGATGGGAGAAGAATTCATTAAAAATTAGAATTGTTTCCAACTAATATTTCCTTACATAAAAAATTTCTTTTTTTTACTATATAATAATTTTTAACATTTAGCTAATTGTTACTAAAGCTTTAAGGAAAAAACCAATTAGTACCTTTAATAATTTATTTTTTCTTGCATTTAACTAATTGTTAATAAAGCTTTAAAAGAAAAAAAATTAGTTCCCTTTTTGCAAAAATAAAAAAATTCTTTTTTTTAAATTAAATTATATTAAATAAAAAATAATTGTATATTCTAACTTAAAAAGTAGTTAATATTTATCGAGTTAAAACCTTGATACTTTTTTAAAGTTAAGAACTTTAAATTTTAGAAAATCAAAAGCCTACTCTATGATATGAATTGGGAGGAAAATCATAACTTGTACCTATTATAAATATGTGAGTTTTGTATCTTACAAGAAATTTCAATAGATGAATACGCAAACAAAATGTTTTTAGCCAAAAAAGAAAAGAGAAAGAAAAGCACAGTTATACATTGCTACTATTTTTCAATAAATGGCCATTCTAATATTAAATTAAGTTCGAATAAATTCCTATCAAATTTCAACTTCCATGATGGCTTTGTCTAATTTGATAGTCAATAAACATTGCTCGTGCTAAAGCATTCCTAAATTGTGTCCACTCGCTAGTTGGTTGTACTGTTCGAATTCGATTCTCGTTAAAAGCATTTACACCACCATCATTATTTGGACCATCATCTTCCATTCCATTTTCCTCATCTTCATCTTCCATTTCATCTTCATCATCAACCTCATGTTGTACTCTTCGCATCTCAGCATCAACTTCATCCAAGTAAGGGTCATTTGGTTGTTCTACTCGAATAAGATTATGAAGGATGGCACATGCATTAATTATCATGACATGAGTCTTAACATCAAAAAAAGATGCATCTCTCAAAATGGCCCACCGCTTCTTGAACAAACCAAATGTCCTTTCAATCACATTTCTAATTCTAAGCCTCCAATTCAGTGGGAAGCAAACACACCCTTAATATGATTGTGACTTTATTCTTCTTCAAGCCACATATATTTCTGTTGGTGATTAATTAAAGAAAAATCATTTAAAATATTTCTCATATTTCATGAAATAAATTTTTTCATCTCACTTTTGAAATGCTGACTTTACTAGTAGTGTTGCATCAGTCTACCATCAAGATCATGCTATTCTTGAAATGGATTATTATTGTTTCTAAAGATTTAAATGAAGCAACCTTTTTTTCAGTTATATTTCCAAGAATGTTTGGGCTTTCTTTAAGTACTCTTAAAAATTAAGAATCCTATGTGGCATTTTTATTGATTCAAACGTTAAGTTCCAGAATCCCGGTTCGTTGTGCTCTATCAGCTTCATCGTTCTGTATCATAAATAAACTTAAACCATCAAGCATTTTGTATGGTACTAACTAGTATCAATAAGCATGAAAATGAATCCAGTCTGCCGCCAGATTTAATAGATTGTCTCTTTCTTTTTCCTTTCCCATGTTGCCACTTGGATTACACAATTTTATTTAGTCCCAAGAAGGTAAGAACACTTTTGGATAGGGAATTTGCGTTTCTTTTTTGTACTTTATGCCATCATGCGAACCTTTTCTTCATTCATTGCTCACAAGAAAGTCTAACCAGGACTGTCAGACTAGGATTATCAGACTAATTGTTCTGAAAGATGGATCAAAAAGAGGTTCAAGCTGATAGTTTCACATTGCTCGCTCAATGATTTTATTCTAATAACTAATGAAATTATCAAACTAGTCATGATTATTGATTTTTTTTTTCTGCAAGGGAATCCTCAATCGCTATCCGAAAATATGCACTGAATAAACCCTGCCTGTGCAATAGCCCATGATTGTTGATTCTTGGTACACTAACAAGAATATAACATAGTGTACTACTCCTCGGTTCAATGGAATCCAACCATTCTGTATTTGGTTTTGTGTTAAAAACTCGGTCAGCCAACCAGATGGAATAATTAATGGAAATGGTGTGGCGATAAGATAAAGAGTGAATTCCAATAAACCGCCTGCAAAAGTGTCTTTGTTCACATTGCCCCGCTAAACATTTAATTGAACAAATCCATCCTTGTACTATTACAAACTTCCCATTCAACTACCATTGGGTCTAGCAGCTCAATTTTAGGTTGAACCAGTCACGTGAAGCATACATGGTTTCATGAACTGACCAGATTGTAGAACTAATTAAACTACTAAGATGAACTCTAGATAATTACACCTTTGTAAAGACATTTGACCTACTCAAACATAAAATACGTTGTACTTCACAATGATATTTTCTATGAGTTTTTCCGATTTTGATTGCAATTTTTTAGAGTTTTTATAGAAAAATGCACTGTAACAATTTGATGTATGTGGGATAAAAAGATGATTAGAAAATGTGTTTACAAAAAAATGTAAAAAATTTTAGGGGGAAAAGTGACCATCAAAACAAGGCTTGAAAATAAATTTCAATTATGATAATAAGCCAAAAGCTATAAATAATAGAATTTTTGGCATTATGGGGAATTACTAGATTGTTTTAGAAAATTTTCGATCAAGAGTAAATAAATAAAATTTTATAATTAAGAAATTGTGGGTTAATTTGATCGCTTTATGAAATGATTATGTGTTGCATATGACTAATTCCGGTAAAAATTTGAGCTTCCTGATTAAATAGTACCTGATTGTGAAAATTGTAATAACACTAGTGTTGATTGGTTCAATTAAATGTTCAAGGAGGTAATGTGAAGAAAAGGTATTTTAAGGGAGTTTATTGGAATTAATCATAAGAAAAATTCGAAGGTTTGAATGATCTCACAGTAGACATAATCATTAATAGGATCATTTTTTCTTCGAAAACAGAAAATGTACAATGGTTTTTATTATTTTCAAACTAGGATTGATGGTTAATTGCCACCGAAATGGTATTTAAACATCCAAAAACTAATGTTTGAATATCCAAAAACTATATGAACACTTGCATTAGTGTTGAGAAACTTTTTGTTGGGATATCAAGTGTGAATCAATATCCCACATCGGAAAGAAATGAGTAGAATGAGAAACATATAAGTAGGAATGATCCATAGACTCAATACCTTAAGGTTTTGGGTTGGATGTGGTGTCAACCCCATGGTTGTGGTTCCCATTCTAACTCATGGTTAAATTCTCTCCGAGTTAGGCTCTCTCTGAGCCCAACAAGTGGTATCAGAGCCGATGGTTCGGCTAGGCAGTGACTCCAGGATAAAAAGCCAGTGGGAGTGGTAAGGCGTGACTTGGATAAGAGCGAGGAAAAAAAAGAATCATGCAGACCTGCAGTGAGGCAAGCGCATGTGGGCTCTTGAGCAAGAATCGTACACTCCAAATTGAAGTGGGCTTGATGGAGTGGATGGGCTAGGGAGAGAGGTCCGATGTGGAAGAGATCCACAATTGAGGGGGAGATTGTTGGGATATCAAGTGTGAATCAATATCCCACATCGGAAAGAGATGAGTAGAATGAGAAACATATAAGTAGGAATGATCCATAGACTCAATACCTTAAGGTTTTGGGTTGGATGTGGTGTCAACCCCATGGTTGTGGTTCCCATTCTAACTCATGGTTAAATTCTCCCCGAGTTAGGCTCTCTCTGAGCCCAACACTTTTTGATCAAAATTCAAGATGAAGTCACAAATTAATGAAGAAAGATTGCAACCCTTGATCATTCTCAATCTCAACACTATAAAGATTTAGTAGGAATGATTTGTTGTATTAGATCAAATTTGAAAATTCTCTAATACACATAAGTCTAGGTTCTACTTTTTTTTTTGTTTTTTTGGGTACATTGGAGAGCCTCTGGCTCAGTACAAGGACACTAGATGGGGAACTGTCAGTCCCATGATATCCTGGCCCAAAATCTCTCTCAGTCGACTCGGGGCTACTCCAACCACTTCACTCCCATTTCTTGCCTCAAACTACTCTTGGCTAAAAAGTCCGCACTCGCATTCCCTCTCTCCAAGTGTGGACAAGCATAACTTCCCATTCCCTCCTCAATCATTCCTGTATCTACTTAACAAGATTCGAGTAAAGACCTGTGCTAGTGCCAGTCTTCAACAGAGATAATGCTGTTAATGTCTGACTCTAACACCACTTTCCTGTGCCCTTGCTCCCAAGCCATTTCTAAGCCGTACATCATTCCCCACAGCTCCGCCACTACATTTGTGGTTATCCCTAGGTTCGCTACAAAACCCCCCTTCCATAGACCCCTATCGTCTCGTATTAGTCATTTAGTCCCCCTCCTCTTGCCTCTCCTGGGTTAGCTGTAGTAGCCCCGTCTACATTGACTTTCATCCAGCCCTTTGGTGGCTTTACCCAACTAATAGACATCAACTCCTTCCCCTCCATCTTACCTTCCTTCTGCAACGCTGTTTGCACTTGCTTTGCTTGAGCTAGTACTTGCCTATAGCTACATCTCAGCTTGCTGCCATCCCCTGCACAGCAAAAAGCATTTCTAGCTGACCAGGCCAA